GAAAGAGACAAGCTACTGACTAAGCCAGGAGCGTCAGTCCCCTAGTCGCTGTCCGAATCCACCCCGCCCCTCCCCCACACACACATTTAAGACCAAAATAGAGCAGTGAGGGCATTTAACATCTTGCACATATTTCTCTGACCCTCGTCCTTTTAACCTTCGAATGTTCGAGGTACCTTCAGGCGCCAGTAGCTATGCCGCTATATCGCCTTAGTAGACGTCCCACGCCGAGCGATCAACGTCACCCTCTCGGGTGAAATTGATCCCCTAAAACGGACAGAGTATCGAAGGGAGGGTGGGGACTGAGAGATTATCCTTTGCAAGGCATCCTCCTCTCCTCTTCACGTGCGTGCTGCTGCTGCTACACAGGTGTGCGTACTCGCGTCTCGCCAGTCCTGATGACGGCTCGAAGGAGGCTCCAAGAGCAAAAACTTCTGTGTGTGTGTGTGTATATGTTTGTGGGCGTCTATGTGCCTAGCCGCGTGGTGATCTGAGTTATCAGCTCTCCGCCAGTGTTGCTGCTTCTGCCCCGTCGTTTTTAATCTCCGTCTCGCCTTCTCTGCAGCCTACTCGCCTGGTAACACGCCTTCCCCCCCCCCTCCCTCCGCGCAGTCTCACTTGAGCATATCTATGTGTATGTGTGTGTGTGTGTGTGAGCCGAAGAGGTTTCGATTACCGCCGCCGCTGCGGTGTCAGGAGATGAGGAGGGGAAAGAGTGCGCTCCTTGTGAGTGCATGCTAGCATGCACGCACCCCAGCGAGAACCAATCGGGTCCTCCTAGCAGCCTGAGCCAAGCTCATCTCTCGCACGATGTTGCTGTTGCACCTGCTGCAGCCCCGAAACCCATTTTTCGGATCGAGTTGGTAGAACAAAGTGTACAACAACTCCACAGTCTCAAAGCCCTGCTCTCTCTCTCTAATCGATTCCCAGTTAGGAGAACTTACTCAGGATTACACTATCCGACAATCTGTAGGCCCTGTGCACCCCTATACCAGGAGGACTACCACTACCGGCTCGTCAATGGACGGAAGGAACTTATTTCTTGGTGACTCGTTCAGTGATCTAAGCTCCATATCCGGCAGAAATACTGCTCCCACAGACATGTCTTCGAGCCCGGAATATGTCGAGCGAAGCCTCGGTGACACAATAACCCTCGCATCTAGTCCCATGTTCAGCCAGGCTTTACAATTTTGGGCCGGTCTTGAAAGGAAGGTCTCTGCCGATGTTGCAAGGAAGGCCTCCACCTGTCTCGAAAGGACGATCTCCGCTGATGTTGGAAGGAAGGTCTCCGTTGGTTCAGCCGTGCCGAGTTTTGGGTATTACGATGTCAAGAGTAATGGGCGGGACCGGCTCAATGGATGCTCCAGCAAGTCCTATAGGCGATGCACTTCCAGCCTCAGCAATTACGACGATATGGATCTGGTGAACCCTGCTGAGGGGACTCTGACTTGTGCTCGCAACGGTAAACCCCCCCTTATGTTGGGTTGGAGTCGGAAGACCTCCAAGGTCACCTCACCCCCTTTGCCGGGCCCCAGTAATGGTAGCAGTAATGCCTTCAGCAACGGCACCGCCGAGCCATCTATCGCTGGAACCGACGACTCATCGGATGTTGACCTTCACAGTACGACTCACGAGGTGTTTAGCCACGCAAACAGTCGTTGTTCTTCACGGGCTCAAACACCCTCCAGCGTCTCCTCTACGCTATCCGATGTCTTTCTGCCTCCCCTCCGAAAGGTTTCCACCGCTAGACGACCTGAGGTTATTTATGATAATCTCTTCACCCCTACGAATTCACCTAGGAAGGTAAGGTTGCTGAGCGTAATGGTGCAATTTTAAAGCCCGCTAATTGTCACCTACTTCGTATTGCGTTTCATCCTACTTCTACAATTGAGCAGTAAATTGGAGGTGGCTATTCACAGGGACCAGTAAGACCTATCGGTTCACGGCATGGTAAAGGTCGTCGAAGAGCAGTCAGCAGACGGGTGTGACTGCTCTGTGTTAAAAATAATTGTCAAAACATATAAAACAAAACATATAAAGCCCGCTAATTGTCACCTACTTCGTATTGGGTTTCATCCAACTCCTACAATTCAGGTGGCTATTCACAGGGACCAGTAAGACCTATCAGTTCAAGCCATAGTAAAGGTCGTCGGAGAGCAGTCAGCAGACGGGCGTGACTGTTCTGTGTTAAAAAAATAAGTGTCAGTCCAAAACATATAAAATACAGGGTGTCCAAGAAGTATGCACAATTTGAGTAAGTGCAAGGGTAGTACTTACTAAAATATGCTGGCGATTCACTGTTAACGATACTCTCCAGTCATCCGAAAAATTATACAAATCTGCCAAGAAGCACCGTTAAGAAAGTGGATCTGACAGATTCTGGATGGATGTTTTTGGGAAACCCCGTTTTGGTGGTCAACTCGTAGCAAAATTGATGGATGCCCTACTTTGGAGTATGTTGGGCTGATAACTTGACCCCCAAATATGATTTCACTCAGGGCTCTCGGTGGGGCTTTCTAGTTCAAGTGATTAGGGCATGGGTCGTACACAAGCCTACTTTCGTGGGTTTGAATCTTATCATGACCGCTGAGTATTTCAAAATTGGGTCAAAAGGGATGATTTATTTGTTGTTTCAGCGTCTGTTTTCTGACTACTTTCTGCTCTGGTCCAGACACTTCAGGGGATCGTTGGGTACTTGAATGTTCACTGGCCATTGGCAATTAAGCGACTTTCGGTGGTGTTTTATAGCATATAGACTTCCCCTTTGAAGTTTCGCCTTAAAAATAGTTTAGGAGTTTGGGGGCCCGGTGAACGAGGGACGTATTCTAGGGAACCTCCTTGTCCACTGCACGCGCTTGGCAGGATTGGTCAGGTGTGGTTATGTAGCCCCACCTGAAGTAAACAAACCCTAGCCGCCTGCAATACTAGACCGGTGATAATAAGGGTTTTTGCAGGCCGGGCCGGGGAACGCACAGGCGACGAAGTCAAGTAATTGTATGCAAAAGAAGAGCCATTGGGAATGCGCGATTGTACTTTGGGTGGTTGAAAAATAGTTGCCCTAACCCACAACAGTATTGTGTCCACCAGGTGGGGCTACATAAGCACATCTTACCGCAGGATCTCGTGAGAGTGGGGCCTTGCATCATACACCCGAAATGATTGCTGCAATGCGTACTTTACTAGTCCTTTATCTGTGTCTTTCCTACCTCCTTTACTTCGTGAGCGTACTTTCGTCGACGGGAAGGCAGTTTTTGAGTCTTCACATGTTTCAATACCTAAACCCGACATGTCAGTAAAAGTTATCAAATAAAGGTCACTTCCTTCCAAAGCAGCAGTGCAATTTCTCGCTTATCTTACCCTCAACAGAGATTAGGCCAAAGATAGCCTCGAAAAATCACCTTCCCGTTTTCCCTGAATGCATGCGGCCAGTCCGTGTTCCCATTCGAAATATTTGCATAATAAGTCAATTTGTCCGTCGGTATGGTTTACTACGCTGGACAAGCTGTCCCTAACAATGATAGGAGGTCGGGTCTTATTTCGTTGCCGTACCTGCAATAGACAAACCCCAGTCGTCTGTCATACAGGACCAGTGGTAATAGGGGGTTTAACCCTAGCCCAAACCCCTAACCCCTAAACCTAACCCCCAACCCCAAAGCCTAACCCCTGGCAGGTATGCCTACGAA